TTGCAGTGAGCCAAGATTGCGCCACTGTACTCTGGCCTGGGTGATAGAGCAAGACTCCATCTCAAAACACAAAAACAAAAACAAAAACAAAAACAAAAAAAACCCCTTAACAAAATTCTGAAGAAACAGAACAGAAAATGTAAGTGATATATAGAAATCAGCAGAAACTTTTAGCCTCATTTTCTTCCAAAAGGCTATAAAGCTGATGGATAAAGGAAATACTCCATACACAAGATTTTACTATCTTTTTTTTTTTTTTTTTTTTTTTTTTAATTTAAGAGACAAGGTATCCCTCTGTTACCCAGGCTAGAGTGTGGTGGCACAATCCCAGCTCACTGCAGTCTCTGCCTCCCAGGCTTAAGTGACTATCATGCCTCAACCTCCCTAGTAACAGGGATTACAGGCATATGTCACTCCTGTCCAGCTAATTTTTATATGTTTTATAGAGGCAGGGTTTTACCATGTTGGTCAGGCTGGTCTCGAACTCCTGACCTCAAGCAATCCTCCCTCCTTGGCCTCTCAAAGTGCCGGAATTACAAGCATGAAGCCACCATGCCCAGCCTGAAAACACAGCTTTTAACTATGTGCCTTCACCTCCATTCCCAATGACAATTCTTTAACATTAATTTCTTATTTCAGGCCTCTATCACAATAATCTGACTCTAAAATTAGTCTCATTTACTCTAGTTTTGTTTTTCTGAAGCTATCCTCCACATAGCTGCCAAAGTATTCTTTATAAAATGGTCTTTGTGGCAGGGCATGGTGGCTCACACCTGTAATCCCAGCACTTTGGGAGGCGGAGGTGGGTTGATCACGAGGTCAGGAGATCAATATCATCAGGGCCAACATGGTGAAACCCAGTCTCTACTAAAAATACAAAAAAATTAGCTGGGTGTGGCAGTGCATGCCTATAATCCCAGCTACTTGGGAAGCTGAGGCAGGAGAATTGCTTGAACCCAGGAGGTGGAGACTGTAGTGAGCCGAGATGGCGCCACTGCACTCCAGCCTGGGCAACAGTGTGAGCCTCCCTCTCAAAAAAAAAAAAAAAAGGTCTTTTGTTTTTAAGTCTTACTCTTTGACTTCCCTGCTTAAATCCTTTAATAGCTTCCCCAGTGCCTTTAAGGTCACATCTAAACTCCATAGCCTGGGTATAAAGTGCTTGCACCATGTCCCAACCCCCTCTTTCATGTCAGGTATACCATTTCTTTCTGCTACACTTTTCACATATGGTACTCTACACACACAATACTATCACATACTATGAACTATCTGTCTTCTTTCTTCTGGTTGGAATCCCACCTTCTCATTTTCTGTCTGGCAAACTCTCATTCATCCTCCAAATCTTGCTTAGGTCTATAAAAACTTCTGACTCTTCATGGTAGAATCTTTTCCACCTCTTTATTACCTAATTTTAACAACTATGAAAGGATGTAATTCATAGCGTTATATTTATTTATTTAACAATACGGAAGAATACCTCCTTCTTCTTCTTTTTTTTTTTTTTTTTTAGAGACAAGGTCTACCTCTGTCACCCAGGCTGGAGTGCAGTGGCACAATCCCAGCTCACTCCAATCTCTGCCTCCCAGGTTATGGCAATATGGAAGAAGAAGACCTTCCATCAAATGGAAAAGTCTCTGTCCTCAATATGGAAGAAGGTATTCTTCCATTTGATCTCAGTCTACTGACCGTCCCTCCTCCAAGTGGTCCTTATATCCTTCTCTTATGCTATAGGCTCTGCCTAGACCATCTTACAATTTTTTCAGTTGTGACTGCCACCTACACACTCTTGTTTCTGACTTTTACTGAGTCGAAACTGATATCCAACTGCTTGTTGCAAAAGTAAAGTCAAACAGTGTAGAATTTTCTTTTTTCCTTTTCTTTTTAATTTTTGAGACAGTCTCACTCTGTCGCCCAGGCTGGATTGCAGTGATGTGATCTTGGCTCACCACAATCTCTGCCTCCAGGGTTCAAGCGATTCTCCTGTTTCAGCCTCCCGAGTAGCTGGGATTACAGGCACATGCCACTGTGCCAAGCTAATTTTTGTATTTTTAGTAGAGACGGGGTCTCACCATGTTGGCCAAGCTGGTCTTGAACTCCTGACCTCAGGTGATCTACCTGCCTTGGCCTCCCAAAGTGCTGGGATTACAAGCATGAGCCATGGCATCCAGCCCAAATAGTGTAGAATTTTCTAAAGTAGAAGCATAAGTTTTCCCCAAGTCCTCTTACCCTAACAGCGAACCATTAAGTTGTGTTACTTATCTTTTCAGACATTTTCAAGGCATATGTAAACATATACATATAAACATCTTTTACACAACTGAAATTTACTGAAATCTTACTATATATTCTATTCTGCAACATGCTGTAAGACATTTAATGCACTGGAGACATCTTTCCATATCAGTACATACATATTTATTTCTTTCAAAATATACACTCTTAAATATATCATAGTTCAGCCAAATCTTTATTGATAAATATTTAGGTGGTTTACCACTTTTCACTATTACAAACCATATTGCAATGTTATCTGTACGCAATGTCTTTGCACATTTATGCAAATATATCCTGCAGGTGGATGGCAGGCAAACAACAGCGATTACATTTGAGAACGAGATAGAAAAGTTTGATTGAAAAAATGGAGCAATGTGCTTGAGAAGATGAAAAAGGCAAATCTAAAGACCTGAGCAACAGTAGGTTCAGAATGATGTAGAGATGATGACAAAGTTGTGAAGGCGGGAACAAAACGTTGAGGTAATTTATAGCCTCACCAAAGGTTTATCAAATCTATAAATAACAAAATTAAGAGGAAGAACTAATAAGGGCTAATATTTTGTGACAGACTGAAATGTGCAACGGTCTTAAAATACAATATGGTAAACACAAATTAACATTAAAAAATGACTGAATAGGCCGGCGTGGTGGCTCATGCCAGTAATCCCAGCACTCTGGGAGGCAGAGGAGGGTGGATCGTTTGAGGTTAGGAGTTTGAGACCAGCCTGGCCAACATGGTGAAACCCCATCTCTATTAAAAATACAAAAAATTAGCCAGGTGTGGTAACATGTCCCTGTAATCCCAGTTACTCAGGAGGCCAAGGCGGGAGAATCGCTTGAACCTGGGAGGCAGAGGTTGCAATGAGCCAAGATCTCGCCACTGCACTCCAGCCTGGGCAACAGAGAGACTCTCAAAAAAAAAAAAAAAAAAAAGGAAAAAGACTGAATACTATCTTTCATTTAGAATTAAAAACAAAATAAAGATGCATGCACATGATGGGGGAAAAATTAACCTGGCACAGTTTTATAAAAGAGGCCTGAACTGTTTTGCTATGAATACATTTAGAGGGTAAAAAAGAAAAAAAAGAAATAAAAAAAAAGAAAAATTGAAAATAAAAGAGGCCCGAAAGTTTGATTTGATGCAACTTGAAATGCATCAAAGGAATGTCTTAACTTCTGGACTAAGGATAGGAAGAGACTGAATACATACATAAAACCTCGAGCATTTTTAAGACAAATGTTTTTAAAAATCCAAATTTAAGGGGTAATAGCACTTCTTTGCTACTTCCTAATCAGGCCACATAGAGAGTATATGTTCTGCTCTGGATGTAATGGATATGAAGGATATTAATGAGCCAGAGTGCATCCAGAGAGGAATAACAGAAAGTCTAGAAACTCTAATATACAATTATTACAGAAAAAGAGGGAATTTACAGCCTGAAAAAAATAAAAATAAAACAACAAACTAGTGAGAACCTGAGAGCTGAGCACTGCCTTTAAACATAATATAGCACCTTCTCTTAATAGCTTTCCAAGCACTGTCACATACACACTCCTCTGAATTTCACAATAACCTTTTAAGATAGATAAGGTAGTTCTATCTTTAAAGATAGCCCCACCTTGACTGCTGGCATCGAAACAGCAGCTAAACCTTGTTCAGGTAACAGTTCTGGTAATACTAGCACACTCTTTGTTCCGTTAACAGCACACCCCTGCTAGTAAAAAACCACTCTATGTGGTTGTGATGAAACTGTCACACTTACCCCCACCCCATGAGATAGGGATTATCAGACTATTTTGGATACCTCCTCTTCATCCAAAGGGTTGGCATGTGATCAATCAGAAGCCCGAACATGTGAACATCAAGCTGCTGGTGATGATCACCCCCACCATCGTCATCCCATGTAGAAAAGTCTGAGATTATAAGGCCGCTAAACAATAGCTAAGGAAAATGAAAATATCTCACACTGACCATGTCAATCCAATTGACCTTAAAGTATGATATATGTCTCTTTCTGGAGTTTGGTTACATAGATTGGTATAGTCTCCCTTTTCTACTTAAACTATTTTGAGTTAGTTTCTGTTACCTGTATCAGAAAGAATCCTGAATAATACAGTACACACCCTTGTTCTCTTTCTACTACAGCTCTTTCCACTACTCACACGAAAGCTATGTCAAAACTAAGACCAATGAGGAAATGGGAAATTAGCAGATTTTAACTCACTATAAATATTTTTCAACCATTAGAGCCTGACCAAAAATGGAATTGACTGATTTATGAAACAATGTTCCTTATTGCTATAAACTGTTACTAGGAATGTTTTGGTAATGAATCCTCACACTGAAAGAAAAACTGAATTGGATATTTCTCAAGTTCCTTCCAATTATAAAATTATACACTTCTAGGTGAGTATAAGGTGTAGTTATCTGCTCTTTTTTAAAATGGTGAAGACATCCAAATGAGATTTTTGTTATTTGTTATGTCCCACAAGAATCCCTGAATATTCGGTCATGTTTTCCTAATGATATAAAATGAAACATTTCCTTAAAAAAGAAAAATATCAAAGCTATAGTAAATGAAGAGTATAGCCCTGGAATTAGAAGTGGGTTTTATTGGCCGTGGGTGCAGTGAGCCGAGATTGTGCCATTGCACTCCAGCCTGGGCAACAGAGCAAGACTCTGTCCCGAGGGAAAAAAAACAAAACAAAACAGTTTTACTCTTTTCGCCGCTGAATACTTGAGTTTAGCTTGAACTATTCAAGCTACCCTTGGACTACCCTGTTTCTTTCTCTTTTTTCTTTTTTTTTTTTTTGAGACGGAGTTTCGCTCTTGTTACCCAGGCTGGAGTGCAATGGTGCGATCTCGGCTCACCGCAACCTCCGCCTCCTGGGTTCAGGCAATTCTCCTGCCTCAGCCTCCTGAGTAGTTTGGATTACCGGCACGTGCCACCATGCCCAACTGATTTTTTGTATTTTTAGTAGAGACGGAGTTTCACCAGGTTGACCAGGATGGTCTCGATCTCTTGACCTCGTGATCCGCCCGGCCCTACCCTGTTTCTTAATCTATAAGATGGAGTAATAGTATTTCCTTCCACACCTATGCCGCAGGGTTGTTTCATGTCTCAAAGGGTATATGAACACACTCTCAAATTTAAACTCTTATAGAAACGTTAAATTACAATAGCTTTTTTTTTGGCAGAATCCTTAAATTTTCAGTGTTACTTAGAAATTTTCAACAGACGCAGCTTCCACTAAATACAATCCAATCAATAGTTCAATAAAATATTATATAAATAAGATTTCTCACTGCGTGTCAATATGTCTTTTTTACAATCTGATAGAGACAGCAGCTTATTTTAGGGAAAAATAGCTCCAAGGAATCGTAGAAACCAATACATTTTGTTTGATTATTTGACTAAATGTCTAAATTAATTGAGCTAGTGACGTTGCCCAAGTTATTTAGCTCTTTGAGCCTTTTTCTCCATCTGTAAAATGGACACAGTGATACATTTCTTGCAATATTGTTTTAAGAACTGTAAATACCATATATAAGCTCTTGAGTCAGAAAAGAGATAACAGTGGCGTCTCAACAAACAAAAGAAGCATATAAATGTAGAACGAACGCGGGACAATAGCCTGTAGCAGTGAATGCAAATCTGTTACCAGACTGATTTGGTTCAAAATGGCCAAAAAGAATAAAGTAAACGGCAGTAAATTTCACAGGCAGAACCGTACGTCTAGGAACCAAGAATCCTCGTCATTCACCAGGCTACACTATGCTCGGCTCCAGCAACAACTTAATGTATCAAAATCAGAAAGATACGTAAATGATGAAGCGGCTGGCTCAGGTATGTGGCATCACTATCATTGGGAACACTGTTTAGTCAAACTGTAAAGTGTCAGCAAGCAGGACTCCCGGAAAAAGTCTAAACAATTCCATTACTGTACACAGGGGTCGCCCCCGAAGAAACGTCACACATCTCACTTCTGCCTCAGCAACGGCGGTGACCCTGGGTACCCCTAGTGAGATCAGAGGAGAGGACAGGACACAGTCCCACCCTCTTGCCAAAGGGTCCACGGCCGTTTCCACAGACCACGCGTTCGCCCGGGATCCCAGACTCTTCCCCCTTCCCTCGTCCACTATGGGACGGGGCTAGAGAGCAAACCGAGACCACAGCGCCATCACCTGTCTCCACGCTCCCCGAAGGCTGCTCGTCTCTCCTGAGGTCTTCGGCCACAGTTCCTGGGCAACTCAGGAGCCTGAGGACAGGCCGCTGGACCCGACTTCTTCTCTGGGCATATAAGTGCAAACGGGTCAAGAGACCCACTCCGGGAACCGCCATTGTTAAAAAACGGCACATGCGCCAAGATGAAAGGTCAGCGCACTTCCGCGCATGCGCCCGGGGCAGAAGAAATGGGAAGCCTCGAGGGTCAAACTAGGCGAAAGAAGTTCGCTTTTAGAAGAAATCGAGGCCGAAATGGCCGAACTTTCAGACACGGTTTACTTCCACAGTCATACAGTTTTCCAGATGAAAATCTCCATACAAGGAGCGCGCCACCTACTCTTGCAAATAGCGTCATGAAAATAGAGCCAGAGCCCAGGCGCAGTGGCTCACGCCTGTAATCCCACCACTTTGGGAGGCCGAGGCCGGTGGATCACCTGAAGTCGGGCGTTCGAGACCAGCCTGGCCAACATGGGGAAACCTTGTCTCTACTTAAAAATACAAAAAAATTAGCTGGACGTGGTGACACACGCCTGTAATTCCAACTACGCGGGAGGCTGAGGCACGGGAATCACTTGAACCCGGGAGGCGGAGGCTGCAGTGAGCCGACATGGAGCCACTGCACTCCAGCCTGAACAACCGACAGAGCATGACCTTGTCTCTTAAAAAAAAAAGTTGTAATAATGGAAAGGTCTTTAACCTCTGAAAGGGGCACCAGGAGCAGGCAGGGCATCATCTTCTTCCTTGAACCATATGAGGACATTTTACAACCTCTGCCAAGATGCCCCATTCAAATTAAAATTAAAGTGGTTTTGCCAGCCCCTCCTCCAGGTGAGAAGAGCATACTTCATCTAAAGCCATAGGAAAGGCATTGGAGAGGTCTGGTTCAGTCTTCTCATTTTGGACATGAGACAGCGGGGCACAGATCAGACAGGGACTGGCCACAGGTCACACCTGGGGAGTGGCAGCTTAAAGTCAGAGCCCTGCCCTTGATTCAAAGCTCTTCCTCAGGGCCTATGTCGTAAGCGGTGGTCCTTGCTCTGGTGTCTGGGAAAGGGACATACGGAACAGTGCAAAGAAACCTGCGACTGAAGGCAGCCTCCCAGGGAACACACCGCTCCTCCCGGCCGCCCCCTCCTCGCCTTGACCCAGCGCTTTTCTGCCTCACCCGTCTGGTCCGTTCTGGACTGGAGGCTCAAGGTGGTAAAACCACCAACTCTGTGTGGTGTGTGTGTGTGTGTGTGTGTGTGTGGTGTGTGTGGTGTGTGTGGTGTGTGTGGTGTGTGTGTGTGTGGGGGGGGGGTGTGTGTGTGGTGTGTGTGTGTGG